AAACCTAAGCTTCGCAAACATTTCTATGTTCAGTCACGGGATATTCAACTCTAGTTTAATTAAACTTAATTAAAGTGCAATTCTCCATTGTATTGCATTGTAATTGAGTTTAATTAAACTCCAATTAAAACGCAACCCTATATAGGAACACGTTTTAATCAAGTTCATATCGCAACTATATTAAAAGTTAATTCAACTATATTAAAAGTTAATTCAATGGTGGCTCCACAATTCATGGGACACCTGTATGTGTGTGTGTGTGTGTGTGTGTGTCAGGGGAAAACATGGAATTTAATGAAAGAATGCCATCAAACAATCTAATCACAAACTTCCCTACTAGTGAAAAGTTTAAAATGTCTTGCTTTGAAATATTTAAACTAATATCTATTCCTATTTGTGTAGTTATTACATTTTTAGACAAGAAAAAAACACAATGCAATGTCTGCTGTCTGCTCAGTAATGCTGGGTGTCATTGTAGCCCTCAAAAAATGTGGTTCGAATTTGTTTGTTCTAGATAAAATATAGTCATGTTTTATTATTCTCAATTATATGTGTTCTGTAAAATAATTTCATTGATGTAAAACTAAACAATTAGTTCTTTGTTTTGTAGCTGAGACGGAAGCAGCATTGAAGGTTGAATGGCAGGATGGTGAATCAGTGAGCACAGAGGAAGCTGAAGATATAGTACAGACATGCTGGTCTAGAATTAATAGACAATGTGCACAATATTACAGAAAGAAGAACTCTAATAAAACAGTAACAGGATGGAGAGTTGTTCGTGTATTTGTCTCCTCCACCTTTGCTGATTTTTTTTCTGAGAGAGAAGCTCTTGTTAAAAAGGTATTCATATTATCTGTACACTGAATGATTAAGTTCTGTCATATCAGGTAGCGCAGCCCTTGCTGAAAGTCTTCATAGAAAGCCGAAATGAATGGGAAAAAATGACCGTAGCAGACACTATGTTAAAAATACATGCTACTATGAAAGAGATACTGTCATCAGAAATACAGATTTTAACTTCTTGCATTTCAAGTGACAAACATTTACCATAGTACCTAAGATTTCTAAGATAATTAAAGGTTTATCATTTTGGTACATTTATATACAAGCTTTTAAAATAATTTGGTTTTCCTATTCATCTGTGCCCCAGTATTTCAGTATCATTCTAATTGGTTGTTATTTGTGTTGGATGGAACATACCTATCACACATGAGACAACACTAGGTTTAGCTAGATTTTTCACTGCTGCATGATTTTTCACAATGAAGTTATCTCAGCAAATATATGCACATTGTTGTATCATTGTGTTACACGCCACTTCCAACCCCAGACACCCCCACCCCACCCTAGCATGTGTATTTACAATCATGTGTACATGTATCTTTTTTTGACTGACACTAAACTTATTAATAAAACAGTCAAATTTAAAAAAAAAAAAACTTCAAAAAACACCCACTAAACCACAACTTTAAAGTTACTGACGATTTAATTTATTTTATTTTTATTTTATTGTATGATATTATTAGTAATTTTAGACTAATATGATAGAGTTGAACATTCAAAGTGAAAATTGAGTCATTTGTCTTGTAGGTATTCCCAGAGTTAAAAGAATGGTGTGAGACACGACAGCTGCAGTTAATTGAGTGTGATTTGAGATGGGGAGTACCAAAAGACACCACAACAGGAGAAACCATAGCAACCTGTCTAGAAGAAATAGATCGTTGTCTTGATGAAACTGATGGTGAACCATTCTTTCTTGGAATGTTAGGTGAAAGGTGAGAATTTAAAACTTGTATCATCAAACTTATAATTAATTTTAAATCCTGTAAGTCTGGAAACTTCATTTGATATGCACGAGTTATTTAAAAGTTTACTTATCTTTTCCAAGTCAATTTTCAGTATCAAATATTGATGTGTATTTATAATGAAGTGTTCAACTTAAAGTAGTCAGGTCATGTTATATCAAGTGATAATGAAGTTTTATTTAAAAGTCAAAAACTTCTGTATATTGAATAAAAAGAATGATATATTCAGATAAAGTGAAGATTTTCTACAGACATTGTTAGATTAGCGCAGGTCAAGTGATTATCTTAGTATTTTATAGTGGGCACATAGGCTTCTGTTGGAGATTTACTTGTACGTACATTAATTTACTAATTAAATAATTTTAAATTATTATTAATCCACACAGATATGGTTGGAATCCCACCTCCAGAGAAGTCCCCCAAGATATTATTCACAAATATGAATGGGTTCCAAATTTATCCATGACACATATGGAAATCTTACATGGAGCCATCCGGAATCAAAATCCCAATGCTGTGTTTATGCTGCGAGATCCATGTTACATGTCAGACATTCCTCCTGATCATCTGAAGAATTTTCTTGAAGAAGATGAATTGCCGAAGTCACAACTCAAAGTAAGATTTGTCATTTGTTTCTATTGGAGCAATTATCCATGTAGATTTTGTAAAGGTAACACAAATTGATAAAGATATTCAATGGTTCCCTGTTTTTAGGATGTTAATGTTGTTTACAAAGTTAAACAAAGCTGGATTACTAATAATACAATATTTTACACTTAATAGATGCATATTAATTAGCCTTATTTGCATATCTTGATAATCAATGCATTTGCTTAGCTTCAACAAAGTTTTGCAGAAGATCTAGTATAAATGGCAAAATTTGTTTTCCGTAAGTTCAAATATTAATTGTTGTTATGTATAATTAGTCTTGTTATTTGAGTTATAATATCTGTCTTATATAGTTTTCTTATACATGCATTGGTAGCACTATAACAATCCTTCAAGTCTCCATTTGCTGTGCAAGTGTTCGCAGATGTTTGAAATGCTGCAATAATATTGTAGGTGTTAAGTTGCCTGTTAGCTCAAGCTGGTGTGATAGGAGCTTGGGAGCTGCAGCAGTAATCTACCAGAGTCTGCAAATATTTTATTTGTTGTTTTCTTTGTGTGTCACATAATCTGCTTGTGAGATGGAATTAGTCTGTATTGTTCATCTGATGTTCTATGTGTACTTGGTGGTACAAAATGTTTTTATTTTTCTTATTAGTCCTATTCTGAAAATTAAACCTTGTAAACAATACCCTACATAACAGACATTACCAAAAGCATGATCAGTCCCTCTCTGCCATCTAATCAGTAAATAGGCATTTACACATTTACACAAATTATAGTCAAGAATTTCTTCTTTAATTTGACTTATAAATCTAGAGGTCATACAACACATTGTACACACACATGATTGTACCTTGCTAGGCATGGTCATACTAAAGTGTCCATGTATGTTTGATATTAAAATTAAAATGTTATTTTTAACCTGCTGTTAGATTAAGAACACATTCATAGCATAGTCTACTATACTTGTGTTGTTAATTCAGGCATGTCATTGTTGTGTTGCCAGGTACCAGAGACACTCTGGATTGCATTGCTATGAAACTAAAGCTGATGCTATTAATCATATGACCTTATGTCTCTTTTAAGACTTGTAGCTTAATCCATGGTGTTCATACAATTGTTTGTCAGTCTGAATTTATTTAATACCCGAATAGTTGTTGACATACATGTACTGTTCTTGTTGCTCGTAAAGTTGATACCGAACGTTTTAGAGATAATTTAATGTCAAAGTAGTCATTTTATACATCTGGGGTGCGTTCAATAGAAAAAAGGTACTTGAAATATCTCATCAATTTATTTCATTGTTGTCATGGAAACATGCAAACGTTTTTGTTGGCTATATAACACTATTTGTCTGTATAGCATTACTTATCCACTTGCACTTTCTGACAACCAACTTATTACAGAAACATTAACCATGTTGGCTCTTTCAGAGAGTGCATTGTGAAATTGTGGAGCAGCAGGATATTTCAATTTCTTCTTTTCGAATAGATACTCTCCAAACATTTAATTATAATTACCATGTTTCATTATTTATATCTACACAGTCACTAATAACTGGACAGGACATTGACAATAACTTAAAATCATTCCTCACTAATCCATCATAATAGTCTCTCACCAAACCAAAAAAACAGTGAGTTGGTTTATATTTTGGCGACTGGCTAAAGTACCTTTATAATGAGGTCAACAAAATCAGATATTGCTACGTAAAAGTGTTTCAAAAAAATATTACTGTACTTGAAAAAGTTTGAAAAATATTCATTTTAAAATTATTTAATTGTATTCTATTTTATTAGCTTCGCTGTCGACTTTGTCAAGTGGAGCTTATCATATGAGTGATTGTCCGGCATCATCGTCCGTGTCAACTTTTTACTTTTTAACTCCGCTGTCGACTTTGTCAAGTGATTGTTCGTCGTTATGAGTGATTGTCCGCCGTCTGCGTCAACTTTTTACTTTTTTGATTTTTTCTTGAAAACTACAAGCCTGAATGCTTTGATACTTGATGTATATGTACCTTGGGTAGAGCTCTCTTAGATTTGTTCATTTCATGATGATATCTTCAATTCTCTAAATTTGGTGAAAATTTTTGTCATTTTGGTAAAAAGTGATATTTTTGACTTTTAGTTGAAAATTGCAAGTTTGATGGCTTTGATATATGGCCAGAAATGACTGATTTGGTTATAGAACACAGACTGCCAATCCTGGTAATATCCTCACATATACAAAGTCACAAAGTTCTCATTTTGTTCTTCTGTTCATGAATTGACCTCACGCATTGCACCGTTTAATGCAGGGCTCCATGTGATATCTATTGACCAATGAGAATACCTCATTTCAGTGCATGGTACAATGTATTGTAATTCATTCTTACTCTCTCTAGTTTATGTTTGGATAAAATTTCAAAGGTTTTATGATGAGTTGCTTTATTTACAGTATTCTTAGTTTTTGCCAGTCACAGATGACCTAGTAAATGCAAACAGACTTCACACAGGATACACCCCACTTAACACTCAGTTGGGGGTGAATTTCACAGGTTTTTTTCATAAGGAAAGGTACTTGTTGAATTGATCGCTAGGCAAGACAAGCTCTGATTAATTTCAATATAGCACTGGTTGGTGTGTTGAATAGACAGTAATATGACACAGGTGTGTGTGGTCATAGAGAATGAATTGATGTACAGTAGTCTTTGTGATGCAGTTTGTTTATTGTTGTAATTTCCAAAAACGTTTCTGTTTCACAGTGTTAACTGCTTTAATCCTTTCAACACTTTTACCTTTTCCATCAAAATTATATTTATATTGAAGACCAAACTTATGTTTTCCACATTTAAAAAATACTGTAAAACATGTTGAAAAAGCAACATGCAATTTTAGCTAATTGTGGTAAAATGACGTAATAGCGAAATGTTGATTTAGAGAATCGCTATTGTCATTGTTGATTTCCTGTTTTCACAATACTTGTCTGCCACGTGGAAAAACAAATGCACAGTTATCATCTCCATAAAACAAAGAAAAAGTGTAATTTGATTTTGTTCCAATGATAAACAACTGATTCAACAGGGATTTAAAAAAGCGGGCATCGTTGCTGCGTTACATCCAGAACATTGACCTTATATATATATATATAGTACTACTAATTTCCGTAATCAGTATCACTTCATTTATTTATTTTCATTATGACCACAATGAATACGTTTATTTTTTTGTGTTAATTTACTTTTCAATAAATCAATCATGTCAGTATGTTTTTTTTTTGTGTTGTTTACAAAGTGTGTGTCGAGAAAAAAGACATTGTTTGGCAACCATTTTTAATTTATAATAGGGTCATTAGCGACATCTTGAATTAGCGAATCAGTTCTCTCTCTAAATTCGCTAAAAAGACATGCTCGCAAAAAAGACATGTTTTACAGTAATGAAGAAATATGCAAAATATTGGCAGGAGAAAATCACATTCAAAAAATGTTCAGGGATTTTTTTAAAAGGCAGCTGCCATCTAAATATCTGTAAACTTGGCTTGTTCAGCTAGCGAGTAACCTAGTAACTGCTGTATAGCAGGCCAATCGGTTCAGTTGGCTCAGAAGTCAACCTTTTAGTTAAGATGTATTGATTGGCTGTCAAAACAGCTATCTTGGTAGGTGTCAACAAATCTAAAATTGTAGTCGGTTTCACATTTTCACTGCATTTGCAAAGTTTGAACTTTGGAGAGAGCATTCTGGGACTTGATTGTGTCGGGATTCGAAGTTGGCATATGTAGTTGTCTATAGACAATACATTTGACTGCATTATGAATCACAGCACTGATTTGTTTGTGTCATTTTGAATTCAGTATAATTTAGTTTTTGGGGATGTGTTTGGAGATATTGTCATCTTGTCTGCATCATGATATTAATTGGGTTTGGAATTTGACCTTCCTGTATAGTATCTGGAAATGAATGTTGTTGGCTGTGGAAACTATACCTCCCTACTGCAAATATTGTCAGAAATGGTTTTTTGAGTTAATTACAAATAAATCACAGTAACATTTATATGTATGTGTCTAATACTTTGTGGTTTAGGGTTGAGATTCCAACAAAAACATGTATTGTTGGAATAAAATGTATCACTTTTTAATTGTAGTTTGTATTCCTGTTGTTATAATGAATTAGGAGTGCCTGAATTAAGACATATTTTTCACAATCAAGTTTCTCTCATCTCATGAATGTATGCAATTTGATAGGTCTGGTACCCAGGTTTAAATGACCTACTCCAGAACTTAGTTCTCCAGTCGCTATGTGGACACTCCATGAATACTGAGTGTATTTATGTTTGTATTTATTTTATGCAACCCTTTTTTGGATTCACTAAAAATTTGCTAATTACAATAATAGTGTGTGCTTCTAAAAAAAAGTTATTAGGTAATATTTATTTGTCTATTTTCACAGGAATTGAAAAGGTACTTACATGAAGAGTTCTCTGATTCTGTATTTGAATACAGTTGTGATGTTGATGGTGTTGATGATAGTACTGGTAGAGAAGTGGTAAGAAAATGCAACCAATAATTTTATCATATGACCACGGTGCATATTATTTGCATGTGGAATTTTTAAAATAATTCTATGCGGGTTTAAACTGTACATATCCACTATTATTTCTAAAAGAGTATCGATGAAAGGGTAATATTTCCGTCAATTATCATATCTGTAATAGTAGTTGACCATATCTGCTTATGTACATGTTTGTAAAACTAGTAAAATAAGATTCAGGACTCATTCTAAACATGATTATTCAACTCAATTATTGATCACCAGTTAATACTGCTACGTAAACCAACCATAATTCAATATTTAGTAATATTGTTTTTGTTTGACAGATACAACTTTCAAAACTAGATGAGTTTTGTGAGCATGTATTAACCTTCTTTAAAGCTGCTATAGAAAGAACTTACCCTCATAGTGAACACACTCTTACACCACAACAAGAAGGTAATATTAATTATAATTATACTGATGTTGTTTATTATAACACTGCTTCAAACTCAACATACATGTAATATTATGTTGTAGGCATTTTAAATAAAAAAATGTATATTTTTCAGTGTTTAGATGGTGCTGTTTAATAATATTATTATGTATTTGACTTGTTTTATTATTTTATTCTTGCGCCGACCACACAATAATTTGAATTTTTACTTTTTATTTCAGAGAATGAACAGCATAGGAATTATGTCCTACAAAAAGGAAGTACAGTGTTTGGTAGAGATAGAGTTATCACGAATATATTAAGGTTTGCCGAGGGAGATAATCAGGGAATTACTGATGAGAACATATCATTACAGAGTAGTATCCGAGATTCTGACACGATATCAAGCAGTGATGACATTGTGATGAATCATCTTACAAATGGTGAACTATTAGACTCAGATAAAAGTGATGAACAGAATGGCGATATCAGAGTAGTGGTTGAAAACTATTCAAGTGATGTCGGCAGTGATTCTGTAAACTCCAAGGGCAGTAGACAAAGAACTAATATGAGGGTGAGGCAGAGTCGAGCTCCAAGTGATAGTTGGTTACTAGTTGTTGTTGGTAGTCCTGGTACTGGAAAATCAGCTTTGATGGCAAGAACAGTCATGAATGCTGAAAAAGTGAGTCCTCATCTATTAATTTGACACTGTGAATCATTGCATTTAAACACTACAGCTAATGTGAGGCAACTGTGCCAAACATCAAAGGGGGATAGATTGACCTATGAAATATCTCTTAGTGTCACACTTTGTTACATAGTATGTATTTTATTTAATATGTACCAGAATAGGCAAGCTGTGAATTTGTAAATTTAATTATAGGGAACACCAACTGGTGTTGAAATGGTAGCCTAATACATTTAGATAAACAGTATGTTGGGTCAAAAATATTGTATAACAATATATACAGTGTAGTTGCATTCTTTTAATTTTTTAGTTTTTTGAACAGTGCGCCCTCTATGCCGATATGATGCACCGAGAGTTGCTGTGATGTAACTTACTGTAAAATACTTTATTTTAGCTGGATTTAATTCTCGCTGAATAGACTTTTTTGGTGTTTTGTATGAAAATTGATTTTTGACAAGTTTAATATTCCTTCAGCCAAAATAGTGAAAATTCATTCCAAGCGAAAATAAAGTATTCCACAGTATTATGCTGCTTCACTGGCAGGTCATTAATAGTGATCTTGAAAAAATAAAATTTACTATACTTACAGAAATTGTGAATTATCATTTTATAAACAAAATAAATTAAAAACCAGATCAGGGGCCATACTCACATAATATTTTCTTTTTCCTCCCTCCCACCAGCAGTCAATAAACTGACTTATGATTTCTACAAAATCAATCATGTTAGACGGCCCAATGCTTTCAACATGGATGATGGTGTTTACTATTCAATTTAAAAAACTTCTTTTAATTTAAATTTGTTTACATTTATGGGGAGTTTAATTGTAATGTGCTACAATATTTCATGACTTGTTCTGCAATAACAAAAATTAATCCACAATTTTTATATTGCAAAGCTGAATGAACTGAATGACATATTTTATATTGCTTTTCTAATAGCATCTTTCATTGTTTTGTTTTTTTAGGCTGGTTTGGATATATTCTACCATTTTGTTGGTTCATGTCCATCATCAATTCACTATGATAATCTTATCAAGAGACTATGTAAATATTTACTGTCAGCTGATGGTACGTTCTCTTTTTCTTTGTTAATTTCACAAAGGTTTTTTTACTGATACATTGCAGTTAAGGTAGAAGCCTGCTCATAAATTAAAAAACCCAGAATTTATTCATTTTGCAATAAATTGTACTCTAAGGCAATATAAGGATTATTGACCTAAAATAAGTTGGGGGTCACCAGCCTTTTTTCGAGAAATTGATGGTTGTATTTTAGTGGAAAGTTGCTCTTTTGACACTATTATAACACTTTTACCCTAGGTTCCTATGGCAGATATATAATTATGCAATATCTCAAAATCTAGCCTGGTTACATAGGCTGAAAAAAATCACATATTGTTAATGATGGAGTACATTTTGTTGTTCTAAATTATTTAAAAAATCTAGGTTTTAAAAAGTGTCAAAAAATGCAATTTTTTTTTTAACATTGTGTTCCATGGAATTGTTCTAAAAATAGCAATTTTCAAGAAATATTAGGACACGTTTCTCAAAAAACATAACTGTAACACACAAAATAATGGTATTTCATTGTACCATGGGACATTAGCTTCATGATTATACATAATAAACTAATGAACATTGTCATGTGATTTATGACCAATTTTGTCAGAAATTATGATTAGGCTTCTACCTTAAAGTATGACTAAGAGGCCTATAGTTAATGAATGAACATCGATGGAGCATATGACACCTGTATGTGACCTATTCAACCTTATTTGACCTCTAGTTGAGGTCTAGCAATACCCTAAACAGTTGATTAATTGTGATAATGACAGAATAGGAATACAAAGTTTTACCGTAAACCTAGTGAGTTTTAGGTGTTTTTTCTGCTACCCCATATCAGTTTGCATATTGTCTTTTAATTATTAAATGAACTTATTATAGTACGGGGCAAATAATTATTTATCTTATAACTGAACCTAATACATGTTGAAAATAATAAATAGAGCAGACTTGAAAACCATGTGTGTCCATATAAATGTGCGCAGTTTGATTTGGAGTCAAAGCATGTGATTTGACTATTTCTCAGTCAGTGTTTATGGCTAGCGAACATTATAGGTGAGAGTGGTAACACTTGATAAGGCTTGCATTCTTTATATACTGCCCTCCATGGCTAAATGCATAATTACTGTTTTTTTTTTTCAATTTGGTTTATTGAACCTTCATATTTTCAACATGATTAATCATTTTCATAATTATTTTCAGATGAAAGGTTAGTCAAACTTGATGGAGAGTATTCTGAAGAAGAGATAATCAAATTATTACCAACTTTACTGAAGGAACGATCAAGCAGGAGAGAACAGTTGTTGATTGTCATTGATGCCGTCAATCAGGTATGAAAAATATGCAAATAACGTATCTTTATTTATTTTTACCTAGTTGAATGCAACGTTTATTGTCTTTCACAAAATAATTGTTTTCATATTTAAATTGTGAATATTGTATTCATATCTGTAACCAATTGTACATCTATTTGTTTTAACAAGTGTGAAGACAGCCTACAGTTTGATTCACATGCAATTGACGTACGATTGAAATATCTATAAATCACATAAATATAGCAATTTGAGTCAATGTAAAAATACTTTTGTGTGGGAGAAAAATAGGGGTCAATTTAGTATTTTCTGTTGAAATCAAGGTTATAAATACTTTTATAACACATGGCAGTTCCTTGACACATCTGTGAATGCATGGAGGAAGGTCAAAGGGCAATGATTATAAATAAAAACATCATCAACATCCTTGTTTCAAAGATTTTATTTGCTTTTTAGTACTGAGTGGTGATAATTTGAGATTAAATTTTTTACATATGATTCATATTTTTTAAAACATATTTATGTCTTTCCTGTGTGTTACTATTGCTGTTCATACTTATTTGGGCCCAAGTCATGGTGACTCTTGATGTGACTGAGACTGTGTTACTATTCATAACAATGATTTTTCCACACAAAAATATTTTTACATTGGCTAAAATGCTATATTATAAACATTTGTATTTCAATCGTACGTGAATCAAACCATATGCTGTCTTCACACTCGTCATTAACAAAGAAATTATGGGAAAATATTGAAAAATTATCAAAGTGATACACCAACATTTTGGAACAAAATATTATATTGGCTTTTAAAGTTGATTACCATATTGTTTGTATAAATAAGATTGGATTCTGTGTCTGCAATGACTTGTAAGGTTGATGCCTTAGCAATGTTTTATTTTTAAATTAGTGTCAAATTGAATTCACTTCCCTTAGGTGATAGTTGAGAAATAAATGGCTGCGTAATCCTGGCTAGATGCTCCTACATGATTTAAATATCAATCATTCTTTTAGCTCCGCTGTCGACAAAGTTAACATAGCGGAGCTGTTCATATTACCGATTGTCCCTCGTCGTCGTCGTCCGACGTCAGCAACTTTACAATTTCAACTTCTTCTTCGAAACCGCACGTCAGAATTTTCTCAAATTTGATATGCAAGTACCTTGAATGGTTCTTTCTCAGATTTGTTCATTTCATGTCAAAATCTCAAATTCTCTAATTTTAATGAATATTTTTGTTATGTTTGGTAAAAAGTGATATTTTCAACTTCTTGTTACAAACGGCAAGTCCAATTGCTTTGATATTACATATATAGGTACTATACGTGGACCTCTCTCAGATTTGTTCATTTCGTGATGATATCTTTAATTCTCTAATTTTGGTGAATAATTCTGTCATTTTTGGTAAAAAGTGATGTTTTTGACTTCTTGTTAAAAACCACAAGTCCGATTGTTTTTATATTACATATATAGGTACTACATGTGGACCTCTTTCAGATTTGTTAATTTCATGATGATATCTTCAATTATCTAATTTTGATGATTATTATTGTCATTTTTGGTGAAAAGTGATATTTTTGAATTCTTGTTAAAAACAGCAAGTCTGATTGCTTTGATACTATACATATTGTTCATTTTCTAATGATATCTTCATCCGACTGGCTGCTTGTTTAAGTCTTCAGAAGATCAACATTTAAAGATGCTAATAATTAAAATATTCATATTTCAATCAAATAATTTATTCATGGAATAAATATGGAAACAAGTACTAAATTATACAAATCACAACTGACGAAATATTATACCAATCTTTTTTCTTCAACAGATTCTTGTACATGGGTTGGTAAATGTCTTTGCAAATATTGACTTCTTGATTTTAATTTAAAACCACAAAATCCAATTTGTTGTATATTTGTACATTTTGAGAATTTCATAAGTTTTATTTTGTACAGTTGTATGTGTGATTACTGGGTGTGTTTTGTAAGTGTTATTGTGTTGGTCACAGCATATGACTTATCCAAACTTTGTGTCAAATAAATTAGGATATTAGTC